CAATCTGTTTCCCTTCTTTCTTTCTTTTCTTCTTTTCACCTTCCTTCAAGCGCCATGTTGAGCGCCAGTTGCTGGGGGTTCGAACCAGTGACCCCCGGGGAGGTGATGATTGGAGATGAGTAAGCAAGCCGTTTGCCAGTCCACGCCGCCCCCAATACCCGGGGACACTCAGACGCAATGGGGAGTCTAGTCAAGCAGGGACTCATTTATTGCAGGTGTTACAGAGCTTATAAAGGCACCTGGAACTCCCCCCTCCCCCTCTGAGGGTGTGTCTTAAGGATGGTCACGTGCTGATCATGCACTCCTCAGCAGTACGGAAGTATTCTTCAGACTTTCAAAGCAAGCCAGGCCGCACCCCCAGTAATTTCCTCTAGGACCTATGCAAGGCAGGGCCTTTAGGTCCCCAGAGTCCAGGCTCTTCTGGCTTTCATAGTTTGCACTGAAAAGTCAGCTGTGATCTTAATGGGTTTTCCTTATATGTGACTTGTTTCTCTTTTGCAGCTTTCAGTATTGTCTCTTTGTTCTGTACGTTTAGTGGGTTTTTTGTTTTTGGTTTTGGGGGTTTTTTGTTTGTTTGTTTGTTTGTTTTGTCTTTTTGAGACAAGGTCTCCCTGTAGCCCCAGCTGTCCTGGAACTCGCTATGTAGACCAGGCTGGCCTCAAACTCACAGAGGTCCGCCTGCCTCTGCCCCCCATGTGCTGGGATTAAAGGTGTGCGCCACCACACCTAACTCATCAGTAGATTATTTTTCAGTAAGATTTTCTTTTTCATGCTCTGGGAACATAGCCTTGATCATTTTTCTCTAACCAGCAATATATGTTTAATATGTATGCCTGTCTTGTTAACACAAAACCAAAGGTTACAACCACAATGTGCTTCAGAATTGACTCTTGCTTTGTCTTGTATTTTATCTGCGCATCACTTTCTGAGTCATTATAAGGAGGAGTGGTAGCTGCTGGGCCCAGAAGCCCAGGAAACCTAATTTAAACACTGGAACCACAACCAAGTATCTGGACACTTTGAGACCTGGAGATATGCTGGGACTGAGACTACTGCTAAGTGAGTTTTGAGTAAGGGAGACAGAAAATTCAGTGCGGATGCCCCACGCAGCCTCTCCTCGCTTCGCTTCTAACTGTATTTCTTAGTAAGTTTTCTTGTCTCTAAGATGGAGTAAAAGAATCACACTTTAGGCTTTTTGAAGGTGATAAAATTTAATGTTCCTTGGATGTGTCACTTGGTTATATGTATAATGTGATTGTTTACATAAATAGCTAACAACAGTCTTTTTATCCAAGTAAACACAATTATAATCCAACTTACATATTATAATTAGTGATTTTAGCATTTATATCTCCTATGTAAACATCCTCAAAGCAAGGTTACATA